CTTTACATGACAGCTTTTGCTTGTTCCAGTGATATTAAGAATAAGTTATCTTTACTCAATATTCCAGTCATGCCATTATGAAAATGATACATATAATACATGAAAAATCAATACTAAGTTTGACTCAAAAACCAGCTGGTAAGAAAAATCTTTCTATTGTCTGAGCAAAGTAAACAGTGTTTTGAATTTTTCCTATTGTTTTTATGAGAATTGGAATAGCAGCCTCACAATAGTACTGTTAGTCTTACAATGTCTTTAACATTATGTCTTCATTATGTTTTTTCAGAATTTTTTGGGTTGAAATTTTTAGGAGAGAAATGTGTTTCTTTTCAATGTAAACTTACAAAAATTATATTTTTATCAACATAAAGACATTTTAAGACTATCAGTACTATTTTTAGTCTGATATTCCAATGCTCTTTAAAAATATTGAAAAATTTTGGGAATATTTGTATTACAGGGATTTAAACCAAGTTCAGGAACAGTACAAGAGCTAAATTTCCGTAGCAACAAGAATGTGTGGGGATACTTCAGTGTGGCAGCTTCTGGTGGTCTACATGAGTTTGCTGATTCTCAATTTGGACATTGTTTTTCTTGGGGTGAAAGTAGAGAAGATGCTCGAGAGTAAGTCTTAGAATTGATATTTTGAACATTAATTGATGAACTTTACCACTGACTCAAGCTTTCAAAGAATTGACAAAATTTTTCCTGTAAATTCATATAGAAACCGAGGAGAAAGCAACTTTGGTTAGCATTTTTGCACCTTTGCAATTGTAATTTTAAAACTTTATAAAAATTAAGATGCCTATATATGCAAATTGTCACAACAATATGCAACTTGTGATAGCTGTGAAGGTTAAACTTGCACAAATAAGAGTATTTTGTATGTACATGTACCTCAACCCTAGAATATAAAGTGTCCATTTCAAATTGGCGTCATTCAACTCTACTTTTAAAGCTTCAATATTATATGTTTTTCTCCATACTTAAGTCGTTCAGCTCTACTTCCCAGCTAGGAACTCTGGGTATAAGGTAAATATTAACTTTTTATCTCATTATTTAAAGAGTTGAATTATTTTCTGCAGGAATTTGGTCATAGCTTTAAAAGAACTATCAATTAGAGGTGATTTCAGAACAACAGTAGAATATCTGATTAAATTGCTAGAAACAGATGCCTACCAACAGAACTATATCACAACTGGTTGGCTAGATAGACTGATAGCTGAGAAAGTACAAGCTGAGAAACCAGATACCATGTTAGGTGTCATGTGTGGTGCCTACAC